AGACTTTGTGCGTTTCTCCAGTTTGAGTGAAATGACAGTTGAAAACTGACGATTATATCTGACAATTCAGTTAACAATTAAAATTCATGTCAGTCGGTAAAGCACTGGTTTACTAAAACTATTATGAAAATAAAATTATGTCCTATCTTATTGGTTCTGAATCTGAATTTCTAGCTTTCCTTTAAATCCATTGCTGCATTTGTTTAATAAATAGAGGCCCCAGTCTTCTGTTGTCACTCAGCAGCAGGTAAACCCAGGACTAACCCAACATTCTCCAACAAATGAACATTATTATTTAGGAACTTGTCTGTAAAATATCCAGAAAAAACTGGCTTGGAAAGCAAACTAATGGGCCAATGTGTTCTGTGATTTAGGGTTAGGGTCAGTGTTAGAACGTGATTGCTGCACAGGATGCTGGGGGGAGCACATACAGACTGGTGTAAGAGGAGGATAGGGGGGTACAGTGGCCTCAAGGGGAGCATTGTTCGTAGCCGAGGAGTTGAGGTCAGGGGTAAGTGATGAGAATGAATGGAGTTTAGGCTGAGAATAAGACACATTGTCAAGGAGGAATGTGAGTGCATCAGTCCGGATTTGAAAAATTGAGCTGAACAGGCAAAGTGAACCAGAACATTATGGTTCCACAGCCTATAGACACTGAACTATTAGGTAAGACTGATCCTGTCTTTCTGTCTCCCAGTAAATGAGTGATAACACTATGTGACAGGTTCTTGATCCAAATATGTTTGTTTTGTAAGGTGTTGTGAGCTTTACCTGTGCAGGCTGAGTTCTTACCTGCAGGCTGGCCTCTCTCTCTCTCTCTATCTCTCTCTCTGGGTGTTTCTAACTGGGTCTGCTCCTGAGAGAGTTCCCCCTCTATTTTGGGTGGTGTTCCTGATTTAGTGCCACACACTGTTTCCTGCATCATCAACCGAATCTCTGCAGCAAAGCCCTGCAGCTCCTCCTCCTCCACACTTATCTCTAGCCTGCTATCTAAGAACTAATGAACTAATGAACAACACAACAGAAACACTCTCTTTTCCTGGGTATCTGGTTACTTCTTGTTTAATCCTTAGTCGTCTAGTCTTATTACTGTTGTTTCGTTGTAGATCTCAGTAAATCTAAGTAAGTAATTACATTACAGTTAATGACTAGTTACCGTATGAATTACATTTTTCTTCAGTTTACAGTCTGTCTTGACAGGTTTAAGTCTACATTTCAGATTCAGTCTGTTGTTTTAATGTCAAACAGTAATGAACACATGGATAAAACATAGGGCTGTCCCAAACAGCATTTAACAGGCTTAACATACTGGTTGATATTTCCAGATGAATGCTTGAATACTTGTTAAAAAAAAATCAAGAGAAGAGATACGCTTCCAATTAAATCAGTTGCCACTGGTTGCTCTAGGCAATGTATATTTATCAAAAACCTATTTTTTTCACTTGTGCACGAGTGAAGTGTAAACTCCACAGAGATTCCGTCAAATCACACTCTACCTTCTATAGTGTTCTAAACTATTGTTGAAATAATAATTCACTGAAATGTGATGCTCTTGTTGGTGTGGTAGTTCTAGAGCAGCTTCTGCGCTGTACTGACTGTGTGTGGTGACAACTCTTCTCTGATATAGCGGTAAAACCTGTGATTGTGATTTTTTTAAAATAAATAGATCTGCTGTTTGTGCTGTCAAGCTTTAAACCTGCTGTAAAATGATTTATTTAGAAAAGAAAGAGAGAAAAAAGAGATGATATTCCCACCTATAGTGGTGATGGAGCTGAGTCGTGGGGATCGGATATGTGCTGGCACTCGGACAAGTATCACTGACAGCATTTATTGTTATCGTGATTAATCACATTACAGTATGTCACAGTACGTTTTTCTGGGATTATTGTGAATATCATCAGTACTCAAAATCACTTCTGATTGAAAACAGAGCAAAATTATCCCTGTTTAATCGGATTAAGTGCAGCGCAGTATGGGAAATGTTGAATACAATTAATTAGATTCTTTTACAGTATTTTTAAAATGTGGCATTATTTTTCTGTGTTCTAACTAATCGCGTCAGAAAGAATAAATATCGAGACACATCATGTAAAAAACATTCTGAAGTATCATGATATTACATTTTGCTGTATTGCCCACCTCTACTCAATTGTATAGGAACCTTTTATCACAGATTTTGAATTAAGCATTTTTGTTGTCAACCAGGAATTTAAAGTGTTCTCACTTGTGATTTCTTAAAGGCATTTCTGCCCTTTTTAGCTTCAATAACCACATGGAAGGTGATGCAGGTGTGATTTGGATGCCTGGCATGAATTTATGATACATTTGACTAAACCAGCTAGAGCTGGGCGATATGGCCAAAAATGTTATCACGATAAACAAAATTCATATCATTCGATATCGATACATATCGCGATAAATGTCAAATCATTATTTCTTTCAAGTTTGAAGGCTGATTTTTGCTCCTGGGGGGTTAATTGCTGTTTTAAACTATCCTTTATGGTCGGAACACAACAAACACTCCCCAAACAGTGGAACATTTCACAAATCTGTCATGGGAGAGTGGGAGAAAGTGTCTAGTGAGCTGTTTTACCAGCTGGAAAATTTTTTGTAATAGTCATAATTTAAGAAAGAACACAGATTATTTTTAGCTGGTGCCGAGCGCTCGGCTACCCCGCTACAAATGACATCACAGTATTCAGACACCAGCTAGCGACGACTGGATTTCTCTATACTATCGTAGTAGTTTAAGGGGTGAACCGCAAAATATCAACACCAGACAAACAGAGTCCTCCTTTTAGGTACGTTTAAACTGAAAGCGGTGCTTTTGTGTCTTGTTTGATCTACAGTATCATCAATTCTCCGTGTTGTGGTTAGGATGTTAGGAAAGAGGTGAGTTCACTCTAAGCCAGTACAGTTACACCACTGATCTCGTCACTCAGACTCGGTCACAGGAGAACAGATCGCCGGTCGCTCCACTCAAACAGGGAATATATAACTCCACATTTCAGACGTTGCTGAAGACACTTCTTACTCGTGGCCCCCTCCCCCTCTAAATCATGTAGAAATACTCGGAAGTGCGCCCTCTCCTGGTGACAGCAGAGTAGTGTCACTTTTCCTTGCAGTAGAAAACGCCACCAAGGCTTTCGCTTGAACGTGAAAGTGTGAGAATGATGTATTATATCGAACATTTATCGAACATGTCGTATCGCTCTGTCGAGGAAAAGTTATATCATTATCATTATCGTTTTATCGCCCAGCCCTAAAACCAGCTATTTATTATATTTATTTAAAACATTTCCCAGTAACCATCACTGTTCTATCTAAAGGCCAAATACCCCAGTATTCAAATTATTCGAGTCAGCCCTACAAAAATGTAAAGGCTGTTTAATCTTTCCACAAAATAAGACTGTGCATCATCATAACTTTTAATCAAATTTTTGATTTTAATAAATTATGTCCTTATGTCCTTTCTACAAACACAACAGTGGTAGCAATTGATTCTGAATGATTGAAAGATTTGAATGCACTTTTCCAACATAATTTATCTGCTTGTATTATTGAGCTGTGAGCAAGAAAAAATGATGATTAAATTATAGCCTGCTTTTGTTGTCACTGCCGATATTTGTGACTTCTGAATATTGGCTTTACTTGCCAAGAGATCTGTTATATATTTGTTTCAGATGGAGCCTTGGAGCACAAGGCACACATGCCTGGGGCCTGTTAAGTGTTTTTCCCTCTCTGTTTTAACATTGACATGTATAAAAGTGCTTAGTTTGCACAATTTTATTTTTAGAATGGAGCATTTTGCTTTTAGTTTAATAAGGAAAACAGTATGCTGAATACCACAATCATTTGCATGATGTGCCTCAGAGAGACAAGATATGATTTCAACCCTGTGATACCTAAAGTAACGAAAGTGATGCATTCAGAGACTTTGACTTTGTGGCCTTTAACGTTTTAACCCATTCCTATCCTAACCCATTTTTATCACTTGCTTTATTTGGCCACATAATAAATTTAGAATGAAGGGAATTGCCAGGGAACTTGTTCTGAAATGGGTTTTGCGAAAGCATCTTTTCATACATAGTTAAGCATCCTAGACTATTCTTAAATGGTAAAGCGAGCATCACATTGAACACTGTCTCTACTAGTTGAGGATGATCTTAACACTAAGATGCTTTTGGGAAAATGGGCCCTTTTGGTAGTAATCTAGTGTGACCAAAATACTGAATTTAATATGACTCATTTGATAAATTAAGTGATATTGCTCACTTTTTAGCCATATGGTTTGATAAGTTTGAAACCCAGAGAACATGTAGAGCAGAAGAATAGTAAAATTTTACATATGGACAGTTTGTGGAATCATAGTTGTCTGTGGGCTGAAATACAGTGGTGGTGTCACAGTCTGATTTGAAAATGACATCTTGCACCTTGTATTGTACCAACACCCTGTGAGAACAGCTTCAGAGGGAGTTCCTAGATGGCTTCATAGCTTTCTGCAATAGCAGAACAGTTTGGCTTATTGCCTGGGCTAATGGGGCAAGACATGCCTGGTATGAATATCCTTGCCATGCCCTTGGATTCTGCATTGTCCCAATTCTGCCCTAGGCCAGGGATTGCTGGCTGTTGATTTACAGATGATGACCCCTTACTGTTGCCTTCTGGTGGTTGCTTAGCCGTACCCAATTTTTTATGTACTTAACCTAATATACACCATGTAGAAATGTTACTAATGGCTGCCAAAACCATAGATCTCTCTGTGTTACGTTTAGGGTTACGGACTCTCCCCAGTAGTGCTGTGTGTAAACCTGCCCTAAATATCTAGCAGGAGGAGGAATGAGAGTTACAGAGTTTATGGTTTCACTTTGTCACCCAACACTGGACTTGTCTAAGCATGCTATCAGTTCTGACACCGTGTGTATGAGTGTGTGGTATACATAGGTACCCATACTGTTAATCTGTGAGTTTGTAATGGCTGTACTCTGTCTTTTTCCAAGGGATTTCTTACCGAGAGGCTCAGGGATTGTTACGCGAAGACCGCTTGTGTTACAGTTAATCAACGCCACCTCAGGTAGGTATAACACAAATGCACCAAAAGCGTATGTACACAAGAGTTAGATTTGATATATAAAGGTGACACAAGGTCCAGCATGACATATTTAGTCCCTTCAACCTTAATGCTAGTGATTATAGTGCGCTTTGGAGAAAAATTCATCACCACTGTTGGAGCAGTTTATTGCAGATTCAATCAACGCTTGCATTAAAGGGCCTGTGTCATGGAAAACCAAATTTACCTTGCTTTTTTAAATAGAGGAGTTTGAAGTAATGTGTTGACATTGTTGAGGTTTCTAAACAAATCATTCACTTCCCAGTCGATACAGTCCATATATGGAACCTATCCTGCAAAAGCAGCCTGTTTTGAATGAATTATTTCTGTGATATCACGAAAACCAACTCATTTACAGCCCCATTTCCAAAAAAGTTGGGACGCTGTGCAAAATATCATTAAAAACAGAATGCAATGATGTGCAAATCATTAAACCCCATATTTAATTAAAAACAGACAACATATGAAAATTATATGCCCATTTTGAATTTGATGCCAGCAACACGTTCCAAAAAAGTTGGGACGGGGGCATGATTACCACTGTATTGCATAACCTCTTCTTTTACCAACACTCTGTAAGTGTTTGGGAACTGAGGAGACCAATTGGTGTAGTTTTAAAGTAAAATGTTTTCCCATTCTTGCTTGATATAAGATTTCAGCTGCTCAACAGTTCTGGGTCTCCTCTGTAAGATTTTTCATTTCATAATGCACAATATTTTCAGTGGTGATAGGTCTGGACTGCAGGCAGGCCAGTTTAGCACCCAAACTCTTTTAATATGGAGCCATGCTGTTGTAATATGTGCAGAATGTGGTTTGACATTGTCTTGCTGAAATAATCAAGGCCTTCCCTGAAAAAGACGTTGTCTGGATGGCAGCATATGTTACCAAAACTTGTATATATCATTCAGCATTAATGGTGCCTTCACAGATGTGCAAGTCACCCATGCCATGTGCACAAATGCACACTCATACCATCACGGGTGCTGGCTTTTGAACTCTGCGCTGATAACAAGCTGGGTGGTTTTTAGCCCGGGGGACACAGCGTGATTTCTGAGAAGAATTTCAAATTTTGATTCGTCAGACCACAGAACACTTTTGTACTTCGCCTCAGTCCATCTTAAAGGGGCTCTGACCCAAACAAGTCGTTTCTGGATCCTGTTTATATATGGCTTCTTCTTTGCATGGCAGAGTTTTAACTTGAATTTGTGGATGCAGAAGTGTTCCATGCAGTGATTTCCACTACAGAATCGTTTGGCCAACATTGGTTTTCAGCCTTGTCTCTTGCATAGAGATTTCTGTAGATTCTCTGAATCTTTTAATGATATTATGTACAGTAGCTCATGAAATCCCCAAGTTCTTTGCTACCTTATGTTGAGAAAACTGTATTTGCCTGCACAGTCTTTCACAGAGTGGTGAACCCCTCCCCATCTTTACTTTCTTTAAAGACTCAGCATCTCAGAGATGCTCTTTTTATACCCAATCATATTACTGACCTGTTGCCAGTGAACCAACAGGTGTTTTTTTTCAGCATTACACAAATTTACCAGCCTTTTGTTGCCTCGTCCTAACTTTTTTGAGACATGTCGTTGGTATCAAATGCAAAACGGGCATATATTTTTCAAAAAACAATACACTTTCCAGTTTCAACATTTGACATGCTGTCTTTGTACTATTTTCAGTTAAATATAGAGTTCAAATGATATGTACATCATTGCATTCTGTTTTTATTTACATTTTGCACAGCGTCCAACTTTTTTGGAAATGGGGTTGTATATATATCTGATACAGGGCATCCAAATAGAACAAAGATTATTTATCTTGGATCAGTCTTAAAGGCACCGTAATAAAAACAGCCTATTTAATTTTAAGGAATAAAAAGAGATTAGAAAATGTTCATGTAAAAAGTAACTATGGCTTTTTTGGTGCATAAAACCATGCAAACGTTAGGAATGAATCTGAAAAAAATAAAATACAAGAAAAATGTAAGATATAGGCCCTTAAAGAATTAACAAAGGGAAAATGAGTGCTGTTCTGAATCTATATTACTGTGCAAGCGTCTTATGATCTGTTCACACCATAAACGGACTAGGTGTGGACACACCTAGATATACTTAAAAAGGGCTATAAACAGTCATCGTGTTGCTGTGCTCTGATTTTTAAAACATGCGTACAATGGCAAAATCAAGCCTCCAGTTACAAAAAATATATACAAGTCGTAGTCCGTTAGTTTCTGACGCGATGTGAAAGACGATATTAATATGCATGTATTCATTTTCAAAACTTGTCACACTTTTTGATGTAAAAATCTGATTTGGTGTGAATAGAAGTAGTCCAGTAGGCCATTCATTCATCGTTTAACACCCTGGACAGGTTGCCAGTCCTTTACAGGGCAGACATGCAGACATACACATACACACTCAACCAAGACCAGCCAAGAAATTTGTTTAAAACAGTAAGGTTAGTAATTGTGTAAATACATGGTTTAACATCAGTTTTATTAGGTATAGGGCATAAAGGAAACAGGAAAATAGTAAAAAGTAGCATTTCTTATTCAAAACAGTAAGGTCAGCAAGCTTGTAAGTATGCCATATAAATAGATATATTAGATATAGAATATACAGATACATTACAATAGCAAAACGTACGGTTTAAAAAATATATAATTGGCTTTACATAAATTTTCTCAATTTGCTTAAGATTTTGCACAGGTTCTGTATGTTTTAACACAGTGGTTCCCAGTCCAGCATGTTTGCTCCGTGTATGTTTGTGTTTTCCTGATTCTGCCACACTGGACACTCATGAGGAGCTTGCTAATTAAGTAATGAGTTGTATCAGTGTTAGATGAGGGAAAGGACAAAAATGTGCGTGATGTAGGGCCCTCAGTGCTACACACAGGACATAACGTACACACTCATAACATGTTCATCGACCACTGGGGGGCAGTGTCTCCCAGGGCATTATCCATCTGCTTGGATCTGCGGTACTTCTGCAGACAGATCTGCTAAATCTTGAATAAACATGATTTTTATAAACTGTTTATCTCTAAAGTTTTATGCACTCCATTTATTTTGTGCCTCCTCTGTCTTTCTCATCCTCCCTCCATTTTTTACTTTCTTACCTCTTCCTATCACACACATCTCTTTCTTTCTGTAGAGCATGCAGAGTTCCTGCACTGTAAAGGGAAGAAGTTTACAAACTTCGATGAGGTGCGTCGGGAGATTGAAACAGAGACAGACAGAGTTACAGGAGCCAATAAGGGCATCTCCTCCATTCCCATCAATCTACGTGTTTATTCACCAAATGGTATGATCATCATTTTGTCCGCTGTCATTTCTCAAAATTACGTTCTCTAGGCTGCACAGTTTTTTCAAATTTTAACGTACTTTAATATCATTTAAGCCACTTCACAATTACCTTGCCAATCACAAATTGATTAGGACAAATTGTGAGGTAGTTTTAGAGGGTCACAGTTTGGTTATCAGAAAAATCCCTAGATCTATATTTTTGATAATATGTGCAGCAGTGCTTAGCCAAACAGCTAATTTCGCTGCTAATTTTACTGGCTTTTAAGTTCATTGACATTGTCATAGTTTCAAAAAAGGAAATTCATATATTTTGATTGAAGTTGCGAATGATTTTAACACTCTAGCTAAACAAGATAGCTAGACAAGATAGTTTTTTTTTGTTTAGAAGGTTGTAAAGAAAGTTGCTGTATTATGCTTGTCAGAAAAGAACCCCAGAACCTTTACTAGGGTTAACTTTCTCTTTTTGCTCTTGTTCTTTCTGCCTCTCAGTGCTGAATCTGACTCTGATAGACCTGCCGGGCATCACTAAAGTTCCAGTGGGGGATCAGCCTCCAGACATTGAGTACCAGATCAGAGACATGATCATGCAGTTCATCTGCCGTGAGAACTGCCTCATCCTGGCCGTCACACCAGCCAACATGGACCTGGCCAACTCCGACGCCCTCAAACTGGCCAAAGACGTTGACCCACAGGGTGAGGGGGTATGGGGGGGACTGTGGAGTGGATTATAGTGCTCTGGGCTATGTTTGTGCCACTTAAAAGAAGATACTGGGACAGATCTAGTTTCTTCCCATCCACTGTGTTTCTCCAGGCCTTTTCTTGTCTGCCCTTCTTACATTTCTCTTTTTGTATTTTCCCTTTTCCTCTCTTTGCTTTAAAAGAAAATACCACCGAATTTTCAAACTTTATGCATAATTAAAAGGTTAAGATGTAAACAGTCATTCAGAATGGTTTGATGTGAAATGTGCCATTGTAGAGAAACTTACCAGGTTAGAATTATTCACAACAGTGCTGATAGGAACTGGACGCTACCTCACAGGAAAGTATCACATGAAATGGTTATGATGTACATTGCCTGGCTCCTGAGACATTGTTTTAAGATAAAGTTTTGGCCTAAAACATTTTTTTTAATCTCTTTTTGGTGGTGAGTACATGAAGGGTGTTGTGAAGCAAAATAGTAACTTTTTTTATATTTACCACTATTCTACCATTGTTACCAATAAATATGAAAACTCAAAAGACATGCTTCTTCACGTGTTGTTTTGGATTTCACATAAAGTAGCTATAATTATGTGGTAGATGTCATGACCCCTTGTTCCTGTCACCACCACTGTAAAGAAATATTGTTCTCTACAATGAACCATTTCACCTCAAATCAGTCTGAGTGACTTTACTGATATTTCAACCATTGATTTATGCAAAAAAATAAAAAAAAAATAGGCAAATTCTCCTTTGACCCCTTAAGAGACTGCATGTGATGACACATTGAGTTTGTCTCTCTCATAAATACATAGCTTACATATTAGTTTTGTAGTAGTTACGTAATAAATCACAGGAGTTACTGAATAATGAATATGGAGTCTTGAGAGTCTTGAGATTAGTTGCTGAATAGTAAACATGGTGTTAAAAGGATTAATGATGTTCTCTTCCTGTGTCTCAGGTCAGCGCACCATTGGTGTCATCACTAAGCTGGACCTGATGGATGAGGGCACAGATGCCAAGGACGTGCTGGAGAACAGGTTACTGCCCTTACGCAGAGGTATGCTGTATTTAGTCAGTCTATTTCTGCCACAAACTGTCCACCTATGCTATATACTAACAAGGACTTGTGACAGCATGTGATGGTTGAATTTCACTACATTACACAAAACCAGTGTATAGTTTTAAGAGAAAGGCACAGTTCTACTCAGCAAATACTCTGCTCTTATATCATCATATTAAAATGCTGTGCTGTGTGAAAACTTTGAGGCCCTTTGACTGTAAGTGTCTGAATGAGGTCATGCTATTGAAATGATACTGTTGCCAAGCCTGGGCTCAATCCTGTAGTCCCGCTGCCCCAGAGTTTTGGGTTACAGCCAGAACTGGCCTATAGGACCTGAACTGCTGCCAAGCAGTACTAGCTGCAGACCATGCTCTCAACAGCAGCTAAAGCAAGGCCAGGTGCAGGGCCTTCATGCTTCCTGCTGGCACTTTAATGCATTAGACACACACTAACACACATCCTCGTAGATACAGATACATTCATACATTCACACATGCGTGTAGTTCACTGACAGCACAGGGATCAGATATATCTAATAGTAATTTTTCATGCAGATTAGTGTAAAATTCCCCTTTCTGTTTTACTCATACGCTCATACTTTTGTCTTAACTCCTAAACTGGTAGTTGGATGCTGTGTGACTATAGAAACTGCTATCTATAAAAATTGACAGCATTATGTGGCATAGCTAAAAATAGCAGTGGCAGCCATTTAAAGCATAACTTTCATCCATTTTATAAATAACAGTATGTCATACAGTACTACAAACCACATAAGCAAGCTTACTCAGAATTACTTTAAAACTCAACACAATTTGATTCAGGTTTAAAAGCATGCAGTTTGTTCAGTGCTAAACTTGTGGATATAAACTTGCATTACTTGTTAGCTACATCAGCCTCGTACCTCCAGTACAAAACTAAAGAAGCAAACTTTGGCCACCAGACATGTCTTGGTTAATTGTTTTCTTTCATTTCCATGCAATTATTGTAGTTTATTTCAGAGCATTGCTTTTTGCAGTGTACAAATACAGGTCTATGTTTTCTGTCCATATTTGTGTGTGAAAGGGTTATTATCATCATGAAACCTATTACTAAAGCAAAAACTAGCCAAAAAATGTACTTGCCAACTGTAATAACAATAAGGACAGCAGTTTCATGTTTCAAAAACACTTAATAACTATGTAAATGCAGTCATATCCATAGATATTTGGATGTTGACAAAGTTATTGTTATTTTAGATTTCAGCTTTAATTTGTGGGAATTACAACCATGTTCATACGTAGCCTCCCATTTTTAGGGGCTCAAACATAATTGAACAATTGACCACTCAGCTGTTCCATGGCCAGGCGTGTACAGTTCCCTTATTATTTTCTCTAAAGGTAAGCAGATGAAAGGTCTAGACTTTATTGTAAGTGTGACATTTACATTTGGAATCTGTTGCTGTCAACGCTCAGTTTCCAAAGAGCTGTCACTGTCAGTGATGTAAGCCATCATTAGGCTAAAAAAATCAAAATAAACCTATCAGAGGGATAGCAAAAAACATGATGTGTGTCCACATTCACTATTTAGTTCATTCTTAAAAAAGCAAGAACACACTGGTGAGCTCAGAAACAACAAAAGGCCCGGAAGACCATGGTAAACAACTGTGGTGCATGATAGAAGAATTCTTTCCCTGGTGAAGAAATACCCTTCACAATAGTTGGCCAGATCAAGTATACCCTTCAGGAGCTCAGCAGACTTGTGTAAAAGTCAACAGTCATAAGAGAGAAGACCTTACTAGAGTAAATACAGAGGGATTACCACAGAATGTAACCGTTGGTAGGTTTCAAAAGCAGAAATACAAGATTATTTTGCCCAAAACATCTGATAAATAGTTGTTCAATACAGTTCTGGGACATCATCTTATGGATAGATAAGACAAAGATCAACTTGTACCAGAATGATGAGAAAAGTGTGGAAAAGGGAAGGAACTGCTCATCTGTCATGCATGGTGGAGGTAGTGTTATGGTGTGGGCATACACAGATAGCAACTGATTATTGATGATGTGCCTGCTGGCTGCTGACACAATTCTGAAGCGTATAGGATTATATTATTTACTCAGATTCAGCCAAATGCTTCAAAACTCATTAGATGACATTTCACAGTACAGATGGACAATGACTCGCATTGTACTGCGAATACAGCCTAAGACATTTTAAGGCACAGAAGTAGAAGGTTCTGCAGTGGCCAGGTCTGTCACCTGACTTCAATCCAATGGACCATGCGTTTCATTTACTACGGTAAAACTGAAGGTAAACCGTGCAAGAGGTCATGAGGGTGGGGGGCACTATGTATGACATTGGTTGTAATTCCTACATTATTAGGATTTGAATGTAAATACCCTAAAAATAAAGCAGAAAGTCTGCACTTTGAGAACATATTAAATATTTCATTTCAACTTCCATATGCTGTGGTAGACAGCTAAAATAACAAAAAACTTTGTTGGTGTTCGAATACTTATGGGCTTAACTTTAACTAATGTCTACTGCAACCAAAATAAAAATCAAAAGTAGTATTATGAAGACATATTAGTTTTCTTATGAAGTATGGTCTAGAGGTAGATTTCCTATATGGCAAACCTTAAATAGCCAGAAGATGGTGATGTCTTTGGCATTGCCTTTGAGCAACCTAGCTGAGCATACTACTGTGTCATTAGAACCTCTTCAGAAGCAAACAAAATATTCGCCATAATACTAAAACTGAGACTTAATAAAAACTATTTTTTCCAACAGCAGTTAATACACTAAACAGGAAAAACAGGATAAAAAGTAGGGGTGGGAATCTTTTGGCACCTCACGATTCGATTCGATTACGATTCAGAGGGCTGCGATGCGATTATAAAACGATTATCGATGCATCTCGATGCATCTTTTTTCTCTATACAGGATCTCTATCTTCCTACTGTCTGAGGACTTGGTAGTTTTAAAGCAAACTATTTGTAATGATCCATAATGTAAATGCATTATAGACCATTACAAATACTTTGCTTTAAATATCTAAAATATCTTTTATTAATAAATCAAATGGAAGTGATGGGGCAAGTGAACTAGAAGGCTCTCATTCAGAGACGCTGCTGCCACTCATCTGCGATAAAATGCGCTGTTGCCCTGAAATAAGATCCAGTGGTAATGGGTGTCCAGACAGCACGTTACAGCCATCCTTCCTGTTTTCTTTAGTGATCTTATAACTTTGGTTTTGGTCTCGTTGTACAGAGTTTGTGGTGGGGGGCGTAGGGGGGGGGGGTATTTTCGAAACTGGACGCTGAATCTCGGCTCCAAAGTGTGCAGCATAGCGCGAAAGCCCTGGTTCTCAACGACCGAGAACAGACAGCAGGTCACATAGCCCCGAGGTCTGGCTTCGCCAGTAGCGAACGAAAAAACAGAGATTAAGACGAACATTTGGAGGACTTATCCGCATTTATAAGCAGCGCGGTTGGTTAAATCTGCAACGAGAGTTAAAAAAAAAGTTGCGAAGATGAACTCGCTTCTCTTTCGTATTTTCCCGTTCCACCTTAAATGGTGCAGCAGTTACGTTCGGCGCCTAAGGCAGAATTTAAGGTGAAACGGGAAAATTAGAACGAGAAGCGAATGAGAAGCGACTTCAGCCTCGTAAAACAGCTGGATGCTGAAACATTTTACAAGAAACTCTTCTAGTTTTGAAGAAAGGTGTTCTGGCGGAGATGGAAGGAAAGCGGCTATAGCTGAAGCTTAAAGCAGAGCGAAGTAAATCTGCGCTCTCGTTCATATTTTTAGCCCATACTACGACATTAACACATACTGGACATTAAATGTTGCGGCTTCCAAGGTGGTTTGACTTTGTTGAAAGGACAAATGGCTCTTATTAACATGTGTGTTGTGACTCCTGACATAACCTGGCTTTAATGCAGAGGGAGCCGGTCGGATTTCTCACTCATCCAGCTGTGTTTTTGTTATGTGCCGCCACAGACTGTCCGGGCGCTGCACTTACCCACTTCCAAATTCCGCATTTTGCGTTCCGTCAACATTACGTTATAAATGAAATATTTAGAAAATCGATTTTTCACATTTGTGAATCGATTCAGAATCGTTCATGTCCGCATCGCGATGCATCTAAGAATCGAGTTTTTCCCACACCCCTAATAAAAAGTAAAAGTAAAATGAAAAAAGCTAAATGAAATTTAAACTAATATTTCTCTGTGGGTCTCTGTGGTTGGTTTAGGTTACATTGGAGTGGTCAATCGCAGTCAGAAGGACATTGAGGGGAAGAAGGACATCAGTGCAGCTCTCGCTGCTGAGCGGCAGTTTTTTCTCTCCCACTTTGCTTATAGGCACATGGCTGACCACATGGGAACACCTTACCTGCAGAGGGTGCTCAATCAGGTGAGAGGGGAGAAGGCAGAGAGAGAGAGATAGAGGAGGATAGAGATGTGAAGAATGATTATTATAAATGTTATGCATGATTGTTAGAAGGTTCATTCAGGAGTCTTTACAAAAGGTTGAAATTGACTACTACTGCTTTCAAATAGTCTTGGTCAGATTATGAAGTCGGGTAAATTGAAATGCAGCACAAATTGTCCAAGTTGTGATGCGAATGCTATTTTCATCATGGTGGATTACAAAAGTGGACAGTCAAGTGAATAAACAATGACAATGGTAAAATACATTTTATCCATGTGCTGTTAACCCAGTTTTTTCGGCTTCGTATGAGTTTAAACATCAGTAAAATAGGCCAAAACAATAGATGCCACCTGGCTAATAAACTACAACACCCAGTTCAGAACCTCAGTTTTTTGTTTATCTCTCGCATAAACCACATGAATGAATGTTGGGTGAACAAGTTCTTCCTCGGAAAAAAACACCACCCACTTGCACTTGAAAGCAGCATAAGTACTACTGAAACAGCAGTGTCCTAGCAGTGAACTTTCTGACTTCTCTCCCGTATCCATAGCAACTGACCAATCACATCCGGGAAACGTTACCAGCGTTCCGCAGCCAGCTACAGACTCAGCTTCTCTCACTGGATAAAGAGGCAGAGGAGTACAGGCACATGAACCCTGATGACCCCTCACGCAAGACCAAAGCTCTCATGCAGTGAGTAATAATATGACACACAAACCATAATCATGCTTCATTTGAAACCTTTAAATATTTAATGCAATGAGTCAGAATACACAGATGCACAAACACACACTCAGCCCCTGATGACACATCGCTGTTTTAATGCTGTGAGGCAGACGATGCATACATTCCTATTCTCACACATGAACTTCAGCAACCTCTTATACAACGCCAATGTTATAATTCAGTGATTCAGAACCATACTCACATATTTTTACAATCATCCCTCATGCAAGACCAAAGCTGAAGTTTCAAAGGGCCCGTATCATGGAAACATGAACTTAATTTTTTGAAATATAAGGATTTGGTTAGAAAATTGTTAACGTTTTAAAACATACCGTTCTGTCACCAGTCCAAACAGTCCATACTTGCAAACTAAGCAGTAAAAATAACCAGTTTTGAGTTTTGAGCCAGATTCAGCCCAGACTCCTTTATGGAGGCATAATGCAGGAGAGCCAGTAGAACAGAGGTCGTTTACATAAACTAACTCTGAAAAGTTTGGAATTACTTGTCATATTAATAATTGTTATTCACTGAAACATAATGAACTAGACACCAAAATATAATTGTTTATGCACAATTTAACCCTTTAAATAGTCAGGGTGCCCGTCAGCAGTCACTGTAGTTACTGAATAAAAAGCCGTAGTATGTAACAAGTGTGGGATTTTAAGGGGGGGTTAACCCTTTAGAACCCTTTAGAGAGCTGTGTTTTTTTATCCTTGAAACTAGAGAAAAAGAGCTAAAATAAAAGCCTAAATTTGTTGTTGAGGATTGTCTACTTCCTACGTAAACCTACAGTGTAAATTTACAGAAAACATACATACACTTCCTGTGCGCTTGGTACGATGCCTGTTCAGTTGGTTTGCTTACAGATGCATTCCACCGTCTTTATTCGTGACATGTCGTGTGTAGTCAACATTCTGCATTTGATTGGCTTTGGTTTGAGAGCTACAGCCAGTTGATGTAAATGATATGGAGATTTAGAAGTCAAAGTGGGCACATACATGCGCAGAGCCGGATAACAGGTGCGCAGATTAACTTTAGTTAGATTGCTGCAGCCAATCAGAGTTTCTAATTGTGAGAAATTCGTAGTAAGAATGTCTTTGGGCAACTTTGAGAGAGAGAGAGAGAGAGAGAGACAGAGAGAGTAAAGAGGGAGAACAAGAAACACGTGGGATCAATTTGAAAACAAAACCAGAAAAACAAAAAAATTGGCATACAGGATATTTTCTACAGACAAGGCTCAATACACACTGTGTGACACTTAGACCCTGAATCATTCAGAAGATGTGAGTGATTTCTCATTTCAGATATAAGCAGCGTTTTATAAAACTGCACGAGGACACTGCCCAGAAAAAAAGGGAATAATTGAAAAACGAAAAAAAAGAAGAAGTAAAAAGAAGTAAAAATAATTAAGTAACTTGTATTTTGAATTAAAGTTTTTTGTGCAGTTTTTCGTGTTAAAATGTACTTTCAATATCATAGGTGACATTTTATTTCAGAAAAAAATTAAGCTTGGTTTTTTTGAACTACTGTGTTTTAATGGGCTTATTTATGGTTAAAGTGTTTTAGAGTGATGAATGAATAATTATGTATTTATATTAATTTCTATTAATAAGCTATTTGATAAGTGAAATTTGGTCACTGGTTTTTAGAAATTGCCATTCTGTATATTAATATTAGAAGGTGGTGGCATTTCTGCATCCTGTTTATATATGGTTTCTTCTTTGCATGGTAGAGTTTTAACTTGCATTTGTGGACACAGCGACAAACTGTGTTTTCAGAAGTGTTTCTGAACCCTTTCCAGTGACAACTGACACTACAGAATCATGTCTGTTTTTAATGCAGCACTGCCTGAGGGCCTGAAGATCACAGTAATCCAATATTGGTTTTTGGCCTTGTCCCTTGCATACATTTCTCCAGATTCTCTGAATCTTTTAAAGATATTATGTACCATACATGATGAAATCCCCAAGTTCTTTGCTATTTTTACGTTGAGAAATGTTATTACTAAATTGTTGCACTATTTGTCTGTGCAGTCTTTCACGGAGTGGTGAACCCCTCCCCATCTTTACTTCTGAAAGCCTCTTTGGGATGCTCCTTTTATACCCAATCATGTTACCGACCTGATGCCAATTAACCTAATTAGTTGTGAGATGTTAAACAAGTTGTTTTTTTAGCATTACAAAGCTTTACAAGTCTTTTGTTGCTTTTGTTCCAACGTTTTTGAAACTTCTTTGTACACTTTTCAGTTAGAAGTAGGGTTTAAATGATTTGCAATGATGATGCATTCTATTTTTATTTGCACTTTGCCCAGCGTTCCAACTTTTTTGGAAATGGGGTTGTACACACATTTACACATACAAACCTATTCAGCTTATAGGAGAGTAGTCCTGCCGATTTGTGTCGAAGGAGTGTTTCAGCCGAGCATGCTTTTTGAAAAAAGCACAATACAGGGCATCCAATCAGAAAAAAATGCAAGAAAATATAGACCCTTTAGTGTGGTGAGTCAAGATGAACATACGTACACATGCTCATTCACTCTCACAAACACTGCTACTGATTCAGCTTCCTTATTGAAAACACATGTCTGGGAAGAAAGACTTTTCCCACTGGCAGTGCACACAAGACTAACACAGACAGACTTTATTTCTCCCTCTTTCTCTGTTATCCAGGCTGATCCAGCACTTTGGACTGGACTTTGAGAAGAGGATTGAGGGCTCTGGTGACCAGGTGGACACAGTGGAGCTCTCAGGAGGAGCCAAAATCAACCGCATCTTTCATGAGCGCTTCCCTTTTGAACTAGTCAAGGTGCACTGATCAGTGCCTATCTGCTTCACTGATTATACTGGTTCTTGCAATTATCTGAGCTCACATTACTGCCTTGTTCATGGGCATTATTCATTGTTTGCTCATCAGATGGAGTTTGATGAGAAAGAACTGCGTCGCGAGATTAGCTATGCCATCAAGAACATTCATGGCATCAGGTCTGGGTTCCAAACTACTTTTCCTAATGGCCTGTTTGATGCACAATGTATCGACTCTGCTCTCAGCTCTTAGTTCCATGTGCTGTGTGATGGACTGTTTTTTCTGCTGCTCTAGGACAGGCCTGTTCACTCCTGATCTAGCATTTGAGGCCATCGTGAAGAAGCAGATAGTGAAGCTCAAAGGGCCGTGTCTTAAATGTGTGGACATGGTCGTCCACGAGCTTATAGCCACAGTGCGGCAGTGTACCAATAAGGTAGGTTGCACTTGTTAAACAAATGTACAAAAATGTACTCTTATCCTGTATTTGTCCAGTATAAAGGGTAACAGTAAATTGTCAGGAAGCACATAAGCAAGTCTTTTTGTGATTATCTAAGGGGGGATTCCACCTATTTTTCAAAAGCTCTCCATAATGTAATGGTTAACATATAACCCGTCATTCTGAGTGAGTTGATGAGAAATACTCTATTCTAGAGAAACATACCGAGTCAGAATTGTTCACAGTGGTACTGATAGGAACCAGATGTCCATTGAGTTTAATGCCTTCAAATGCTCCCTCACAAAAAGTTATTGCATAAAATAGTTAAGAATTTGCTGCCTGATGCCAGATAATGTATATTCCCTAAAAAATCGTATTTTTTCAGATTTCACACGTATAAAAACTCACAAGACATGCGTACGTTCACTGGTCATTTTGGATAGTGAATAAAATGGCTATATTTGCTATATTTGTGTTGTAGACATTGTGACCCCTGGTTCCTATCATCACCACTGTAAAGAAATCAGTCGGTAAGTTTCTCTACAATGAACCATTTCACATCAAACCACTCTGGATGATCTCCATGAACAAATTATGCAGTAATTTTGAAAAACGGGTGGATTTCCCCTTTAGTGATACTAAGTGGTTTGATGCAAGCACATGACCAATCAGACATGCACCTTACATGATGCAATCTGAAGCATAATTCAAACACCTTGACATCTTGGATGATCGACTACAGTTGGGATAGGGGAAATTGTTATTTATAAATGAATTTAAATAAGTAAATAAATTAAAAGAATAACACAAAGCGTGTTCTTGTTTAGTTTGGCTGTGTTTTTTTCTATTCGGTATTCAGTTACGGACCTTTCCTATGCTACGGGAGGAGACAGAGAGAATTGTGACCACATACATTCGGGAACGAGAGAGACAAGCCAAAGACCAGGTCAGGCAACTACACACAAATGATTATGCCCTGTAACAGTGCAAATAAGTATACTTGAAGTTAAGCACAAAGTTATATTGTACAACCTAGAAATGTATTATTTTTTAATATAAATATATCCTGTTGTTGTATGGTTATAATATCTCCTGTTAGGTTTTGCTTTCAATCGAGATTCAGCTTTCCTACATCAACACGAACCATGAAGACTTCATTGGATTCGCCAAGTGAGTTTCCCTGGCAGGAAATTATCAAGTTAATTTTGTGTATATTTTGCTTGTGGATTTATTATTTTATATGAAACGTTTGGTACAAAATTAACTTCATGGGAAATAGGCACAAATACAAAGTGAGCTCTCGTCAAAGTATGTGATGGAACAGTCCTCCTTGTTCTGTTCTTTTCTTTTTCAATCTCACCATTCTGCCTTTTCTTTTACAGCGCACAACAGAGAAATAATCAGACGAGTAAAAAGGCTTCAGCAGGAAACCAGGTGAGTGGACGGCATAATACATACACATAAAGAAGAGCTTGTGATATAGTACTTGAAGCTCTTTTTTCTCTTGCTTTCTGTGTTTTGTCACAGTATTGTCAGATTTGCTTTTATTAACCTTTAATGTCTAATGTTTTATTTTGAAAGTGCTGCTTCTCATACTGGTTGCATGCATGTGTTTTTTCCTTCATTTGCAATGCAATACATTAATATGGCTGTTTGTTGTTTCTCTGTCCCTCCCACCACCTGCATCTTCCTGTACGTTACATATTAATATGTCCCTACCCTTCTGTTTAGCATAGGAAAACATAACAATTGAAAAACTTAATGTTCAGAAAAGTCACAAAAAGCTTGATGTGAAGGTAACTGAAGGTTGCTATAATTTAAGGGTGTGCACAAGTACTTGGATAACTGTTCCAGATGTCAGTTTTTGACTGAAATCACTGTTCAGGTTTCTGTTACACTGAATCATAGAATGTCAGGGAGAAAATATACAAGCCAACAATTCAGTAAGGTGCTGTTAAGTTTTGTCAAAGCTGTGAAGTGTGAAATTTTGTTTGTATTTGTGAATAAGTGCATTATATTATATTTTGCTGCTATCCAGTAGCCTTGTTTGCCTTGACTGAGCATGTTCGTTGCCACAGATGTGATTTAAAAACCAGAAGTAGTGTGGCTGTTACTGGGCTAGCTACTCTCGCTGCCATTAGCAAAAACAATAAAAATGCATTTCTCTGTTTTAAATGTTACGCTTGAGGTAAAGAAACTTGCGTAGAACTCTGAGTCACCATCTATCGCTCAATTGTTTAGCTCTAGTTTTAGCGTTAGCCCATCTAACATCAAAAGCAGTCTTCGTTACTGAAACCATATCTGGCACAAAGATTTACAGGTTTTACCCACCAAAGATCTCCTTTAGATATTTTGGGATAATTAACTTTCAAATATACATCTCTGTCTCGAATTACAGCTTAACTTTAATTCGTGCTACAGATTTTGGAGCTTGTCATCGGGGGCAGGGTTGAGCGCCAAGATGGCTGCTCCCTGTGTTTGTAGATTTTTTTAGTTCCAGTTAATATCATGTTTTAAACTTGCAATCATTTTTAAGAAATTGGTTAGTTATGTTTCATGTGTATTTTTTATTAGTTGTATTTTCTTGATGCTTATCTCAAATCCTGATTGTGCCTTTGGATACAATAACGGAGTATGCGAGGAGTTTCAGATATCCAGTAGGATGTCTCAAGAAATTAAGAACAAAGTCAATTCCTCTGACAGATGAAATTAAATCAACGCTACTGGAAAACTAGATATTGAAAATACCTCATCGGACAAGTGGACCCAGGGGAGGACAAGGTAGACAAAGGCCCATTCCTATAGTAGTAGGCCGCAGAACTATGAGGAAGAAAATGCTTGACAACATCTTTCAAACATAAAACTCTGATTAAGATAACAAGAAAAGGGATACAAAAGCTATTTGTAGTGTACCCTGCTCTTCTTCTGTGCAATTCAAGATCTTCTATAAATAAAAAGGATGAGTTTGAAATCATGTTTAGATATATCAGCTCTGAAACTGGATGTGTCACAGAAACATGGGCGCGTAGCAATATTCCAGATGAGTCAGTTTCCACTGAGGGCTTTCAGATGTTCAGTAAGGACAGGAATCCTAGCCTGAAGTGGAAAGGAGGTGTATCAATGTACAGTGAAAACAGGATTAATGCAAAGAGGCTGCTACATCTTGAGAATGATGAGGTGGAATGTATGTGGATCCAACTGCGTCCTAGTAAAATACCAAGATCAGTCTCCATCATCGTAGTTGGTCTGCTGTACCATCCACTATGGGCTAACGACAGGGAAACACAGCATAGTACTACAGATAACATCAAGCTTAAGTCACCTCCGGCAGGCATTATTTTATGAGACTTTAATTATTTGCCCATATCTTTCAATACTGCTCATTCTGACTTTGCACAAGTTGTCAGAAAGACTCGTGGCAATGCTATTCTTGATCTGATCATAACAAACATGAGCAGAAACTACTGTTCTCCTGTAGTGTGGTCACCTCTTGGTTCAAATGATCACAACATGATTCAGCCTGCACCTCTTGCAAAAAATAGGAATGGTGCCCTTTATTGTCACCTGTTTATGACAAAGAAACTCTGCTGACTATCAGGAGACGACAGAGGATCTTTATGAGATTTAAGACTGACAAGTGAAGAAGAGCTAGAAATAAGGTGTAGAGATTCGTTCGTCAAGCAAAGAAGAACTTCAATGCAAACAAAATTCAAAATCTTAAAAAGAAGATCGCAAAGCATTGGTGTGACTACATTAACAAGGAGCTGGGGCGAAGACTTCAGGGGCCACCATCAGAGTGGGAAATATAGAAAACTCTGACCTGGCAGAGACCTTTAGCAGCTTCTTTTCTGAAGCCTGGTCCAGTAACACCACCTATATAGGCTATCCACTCCCTAGTCCAGTTAGTTCAGGAGAGTTGTGTAGCATTGGTCAAATGAGACTGGAATTACTGAGACTGAATCCCAGGAAAGCCAGTGGCCCAGATGGCTTAGCTCCAGTCATGACACTTCTAGAAAACCACTTCTGTTAACAGGGCATTGTACCTGCCATGTGGAAGGCTGCCAACATCTGTGCTCTCTGACAGACTCTGAGTTAAGTGATTGGCGATCTTCTTAACCTCATGTCTTGGAAAGGTTCAGGAGAAGTTTGTGCTCAAAAAGCTCATGCCAACAGTTTTGCAGGAATGCAAGAATCAGTATGTATACTGACCTGGCAACAGCACAATCAACTCTCTTGTCAAAGCTGTCAACACCTGGCTTTCTCAGACAGACTCTTGTCTGCCAAAAATTGTTTGTATTTTGTCAGCTGATATGTCCAAACCCTTTGATCGAGTCGACTGCACAAAGTTTATGCAGCATTTGGCTACATTAGATCTGTTTCCTTAGCTTTTTTCTTGGATTCAACGGTGTTTAGTACTGAGAAGACAGAATTGTGGGGAATGGCACAAACAGCACATTGAAAACCATCACTTTGGGTGTTCCACACGGAGGTGTCATCTCACCTTATCTGTTTTTACTTCATATGTCCACAAGGTCAGTTTGGTTTGAGGATACACTTGATGTAGGCTATGCTGATGACGTAGGGTTGTCTCATGCCATTAAAATTTGCAACATTGGCAGTGACAACTCAATGGAAAGTGAAGCTAAGTAGCTTGAGGATTGGGCTGCAGCTAATAATATGGTCCTCAATGGCAAGATGTCAGTTGACACGAGAGTGTGTCTCTCTAAAGATCCTCCTTTAATTATTGGTGGACAGGCTGTCCCTGTTGTAACTAAAACAAAATATCTAGGCTTTGACCTGGACAATCAACTCAGTGGAGATTGTCATATCGAAGAGGCAGTGAAAAAAGCTTCTAAGCGGTTGCATTTCCTCACTGTCTTGGCAAGAAATGTGGTTCCTGTTGAAGATCTTTTTTGATGTGTATAATACCCTCATTAGGCCATGCCTGGAGTATGGGAGTGTGCTGCTGGTGGGCTGCACAGAAAAACAGCGGGCAGCTATGGACAGGGTTAAAAAAGAGGCATCAGAATCCGGATACGGTTTCATAAGATTCCTACACATCTTTCAGATTTACAGAAACAGCGGGAGCAGGCCACTATAAAACTGATAAAAGACATGCACCAGCCCAATGATCCTTTACATACACCTCCTTCCACTCAGTAAGGGTAAGATAACGGGGTCGTCTCCTGCAGAAAAATTTCCAGCTGTCGCTTTGGAATGCAAGAACCAATAGACTAAGAAACTCCACTATTCCATGTGGCATCAGGCTGTTTAATTCGTTGTAGTGTGGCGTAAATGTGGTGTGTAAGTATCTGTGTATGTATTTTTATATATTTATTACTTTAAATGTTTTGTAGTATAATTTGTATGTTCTGCAGAATTCAATCTTTTGGATTGCAAGTCAGAATGTTTTGTAAATAAACTAAACCAATGCACCTGTTTAGACTTTTTGGTTATTATAAGTAATAACTATGCTACGGTGTATCAGCTGAAGCTCTCTTTTCTTCCTGTTCTCCATGGTTAACTGAATATCCATTCATTAACTGCAGTTGCTCAAATATCAAAATCAGTCCAAATGCAGATCCCTACTTTGGTTCTAGTGTAATGTTCTCTTTTCTTTTATACCTTCACGCTGTTGTGTTAGCTTTGCCTTCTCACCATAATTCTGTTCTCATGACCTATCCCCATTCCCTCCACTCTTCATCGCTCTCGCGCACTACTCAGTCCGTCCTGCAGGGGGCATGGTGAGTAACCCACCAGTCTCTCACACAGTGCATGAGGCCTCTGTGTCATGCAATCACTATTAACATTCTCAGCCAGAGCGCAAGCACTCTTCGCTACACTTCAGAAAAGTCCAGATCTATTGTTCAGCTGTACATGCTCAGTTGAGTTTAGATTTTGAGTATGCAAATGTATGTATCCTGTAAACTGACTGCTTAATTATAGATCTTGTTTCTGTTAATCCAGCAGAGAATGCCCAGTGGTGCTATCGTAATGTCTTAATTTTTCCTGCTGATGTTTTTAGGGTGCTGCTCCTCCACCTCCCAGTCAAATTGTACGAGCCCAGTGTCTGTAAGCCTTACTACTGTCTACCGTCGTCACGCTGTTTCTTTGTGGATGTCTGTGTGTGCTAGGGGTGTTATGATACACATAGTGATATTCACACTGTGTGTGCACCTGAAACCGTAAGGCTGGGTATTGTTCAAAATGTTTGATACCAACTTTGATACCGATTTATGAACTGATTTAAATTTCAGACAGTAATGTGTTGCTTAAACAAGAAATGAGTGTGAGGTGTTGGAGGTGGGTTTATTTACTGAGAATAATAGACTGCAGATTAATCAAGAAGCACTAACGTTACTTAGGCAGCAGTCTAGATTTTGTAAAAAGTGTTCATAGGCTTATTGAAGCTAATATGAGCGTTTGGTTATGTATTAAAGGAATAGTTCAGCTAAAAATCAAATCTTTCCACTTACCCTAGATGTAGTTAAATAAATCCAATACCAAACTTGTGTAGCTGAATGCTGCAGGCAGCCTTTTTAGACGGCAGGGTCTATATTCTAAGAAGTCCTAAAATAGAAGACTAACCTTAGATCAGATTCCTCTATATTTATGATGGTCATTGTCACCAAAACCGACTGTAGATAAGCACCTTTTTTAGCAATGTTAACCTTGTAGCACTAGTGCTAAACTGAAGAAGCAAAATTTGGACCCCAAACATGTCTTGGCCGATCGACTACAAGTGCGGTACGTAGAAAACAGTTTATTAGATGTGTGTTAGATCTTTTTGCCAAACTATTCCTTTAAAATATGATACTGAATGACATGACAGTAGTATTGAAGTAATTTGGCGAGTACTATAAAAATATTGAATTTCAATACCCAGCCTTATTTTTGCATATTTAAATGTATTTCTCTACTAAGAGAATTATTATTATTATTATTATTATTATTATTATTAGTGTGTTAATTATTCTTTCACCAGGGTCTCCTGTCTTGTTTTGGCAGTAGGACATTAACCAAAAAAAAATACAGGCAAAATAAATATTGGGATTTTTTTTAATCACAATAAATACAATATTTTGAAATGTATGCATCATTACACCCCTAGTGTATGTATGTGTGAGTGACAGTGAGAGTGTGAGAGAGATTACTGCTCCGAGCACTGCAGATATCACTTGTTGCAAATATCACTTCTTTCCTTCTGCTTCTTCTGTCCAGAGCTGCTGACACACATGAGAAACTCTGGGATTGAGACTATTAAGCCCATGTTTTACGACTATTTAATGAACCAACTCTTTTCACAACACACAATTTTACAGATTCATGTTTGGCATCTCTTTAACTTTAAAAATCTCAATTCCATTCACTTCTGATTCAGTCTGAATCCCGAGTCCTTGTGCAGTGTTGTGATTCTTTTGTGAAATCCTTTTTCACAAACTAAAAGTTCTAGTATTCAACTGTAAGCCCTTTAACTCTTATTAACCTGTTATAATTAGCTGTTATTTCCGCTTTCCATCAGTGAAAAACACCTTTAAGCTTTTTTCTAATCTTGTCGTTTGTGTCTGAATCTGCCTGTAGTTTGCAGCACTGTGAGTGTATCAGCCTTCAGCCCTAGTTTGTGTGTATGTGTGTGTGGGGTGGGATGTTATTTAAGTGTGCGCTAATGTTTAAAACAGATCTGAACTTCTTTCAACTCCAGTGGAACGTTCAAGTCCATAGACTCATAGCTTCTGATCTCAATCCATCTGGCGTATTTGTGTGTGTGTGTGTGTGTGTGTGTGTGTGTGTGTGTGTGTGTGTGTGTGTGTGTGTGTGTGTGTGTGTGTGGGCAGGGAGGTTCATTCACCTGAACTGACATGTTGCAGTGCTGCAAGCTTGGGCCAGGTACAGGCCATGAATGTGTCATTTTATTCACCAAACAAACTGCAGATCAGCCAAAAAAAAATATATATATATTGAAATTGTCAATTATCTACTCAAAAAAATGTGTTTTTGTGTTTATAAAAGGGCTTGATATGTTTCATTATTGAACTTTTCTTCTTACAGATGATTGGTAGGTGACTAATATTTTTTTGTGATACTCTTATTCATATTATACAGGGTAAAAATTCAGAGACCACCTTTCGTTTATTTAATTTCCGTTCTAAACTGCAATTAATTACAAGTTGTTCATTTTCAGGAGATTTCTCAGAGGAGATTATAGGTAATATATAAGGAAGGGGAAAGTCAAAAGAAAATAAGTGAAATAAGAGGAAAAAAAGAATTGTAAGAAGCAAAAAATGCAACTGTAAAACTGAACTTTGGAGGTGTGTAAAAATATCCCTGCAGATTTCTGAAATACTGACAGCAAGTGTCCAGAAAAGCGTGAAAGGATGGACACATTAAAGAAAAAAATTGGTGAAATTATATTTAGTTGTTGAGGCTTCTTTGTCTTTTTCTTTGCAATATATTTCTGCCCAATATATTATTACTTATTGGCCATTTTGACTGCAGTGTAGAAGAATGGAAGGTGGTCTCTGACTTTTGCACAGTACTGAATGGGAGCATTCTGTGTATCTCCTTCAGGAGTGTGACAGCTGATGTTATGCTTTATCATGAGATTGTCTTACTCTGTTTCCTCACAGTTTTTGAACTTCCCACAATCAAATCAAACATACACGCCAGTTTGTTTTGAGTTATTTTTTCAGTACAAATTCACAGAGCCTATAACCTGAATTGTATAGACTCTGGAGTTTGGCTTAGTTATCTGGTTCACTTATTTAGTTTAATTGAATTCAGTTTGTTAGTAATGCAGTGAATGAAATACTGTATGCTTGAGAGACAATGGCTGCAGTCAGGGGTGTAATGAAACAGGATGTTTGGACCTTCTGCCTCTCTCTCACTCTTTCTCTCTCTATCTCACTCCTTTTTGCCAGCTGGACTCCTGTTTCCCCTGCCATCATCACCTCCACCCCCACACTGCTCCACTCTCTCTCATCCTCTGCCCATATCACTCTTATTTTAGTCCCTCCTTCCTTTATTTCCTTCCCCCGGTCTCATCCTTTTCCTCTGCTGGGCAGTGCTAATCCCACAGACTGTGCCAGTCCTACACATCCTACTAGCTCTTTTTCTTTTGTTGAAATATATTTAGTCACATCACTGAAATGATGATGATTTACCTTTGATTACTGATGGACACTATAGACAGTTGGGAGTTTTGTTTTTTTTTATCTTTCTGAACGTTTTTGACACACATTCACAAGGTTCTCTTTTTATTTTTTCAAGTAAACACTTTTTCTCTCTCTTTCTTTGTGGAGGGCTGGTCGACTCTTGCTTCTGGTATCTTTCTGCCTTTAAATCATGACCTCCACCCTTTCCCCATAAATCATGATCTCTACCCTTTCACTGCTGACCTCTCTCTTGCTCTGCAGGTGATCAGAAAGGGCTGGCTGACCATCAACAACATCAGTCTGATGAAGGGAGGGGCCAAGGATTACTGGTTCCTGTTGACCGCAGAGAGCCTCTCTTGGTTTAAGGATGATGAGGTAAGGCATGATATGCTTTACTTTCACCTCATTCCTGATTTAGCTTTTTCATTGACTTTATCTTTTATAACCCCTTAAGCAATGACCCAATGAAGCCCACATTTCAGGTCCTCTTTCTTAGAACTGCATACCTTTCATGTATTTACCGTAGTTGCCAAATAATTTGTAGTAGTTACAGAAAAGTAAGTCTGAAGAATAATAACTGAGTAAGCCCTGAGTTTAAGGAGTTAAACAGCTTTTTATGATGACAGTGTTATAGAATTCAGCTTCATAACTTACATATTAGTATAATAGTTACTGAGTAATGGATAGTTACTAAGTTACTAAGCTTTGAGATTAATAACTGGATGGAGTTTAAGGTGTTTATCAGCTTTTTAGGCTGTTTCGACAGTTCAGTTTCAGATAATTTAAGCCCCACCCCCAAAAGCACTGGTGCGCTGGTATTCCGGTGATTCGCTATTGGCTAGCTGATGCGTCCGCCGTGTTGTGGGCCCTTGCCAGGTGGGCTGCCATCTGTCTGCCTGTCTGTGCCTGCTGTACAGGTGCAGGAAGTTCTGCACAGCAAGTGTAGACAGGCAGACAGACAACGCTCTCAGCCAATGGTGGCACAGCCTGCCACGCTGGGAACGGAAGGAGATGCTGGAGGAAACACCTGACATTATGAGTGGGCTCACATATTGTCATGCTCTCACTTACGTAACGCTTTTGTGACTAGGCCAAAAGTACATTTTAAAGTACACTGTTGAAATACTTATGTGAAAAGTTTCAGATATGAGCCACATCTAAAAAGATTTTAGTACAAAAGTAACACTGTAGCACTGAAAAAGCTGTACACATCTGTGATGCCAATAGTACATTGAACTGCTTGCTGAGGTACATACATACATACATGGGGTGCTGGAGCCTATCCCAGCTGTCATTGGGCGGAAGGCAGGATACACCCTGGACAGGTCGCCAGTCCATCGCAGTACACATCAGTATGATATACCAATATTACCAATAGTACTTGCTGAGGTACTTATGTAAAATTTTAATGCCACAAATGATATAAGGATATGAGGTGTGTCTCTAAAGAAAAATATGACAGTAACATCGAAGCATTGAAAAAGGCATTGCAGTAGTAAAACCTTTCTATCCAACCCAAGTCTCTCTATATGTTCCTTTTTTTTTACCTCCCCCTTTTTCTACACCCCCCCTTTCTTCTTAATGTCTTTTGCCCCCTATGACCCTCTCTTTTCCCTCACTCTTTTTCTTGCGCGCTCTTTCTCTCTCTCTCTCTCTCTGTTGGGAATTGAAGCATTTGGATCAGATCACTCTGACACAGCTGGATCTCCCCCAAGCCAAACTATCACACACACACATATATACACACACATACACATACACTCACACACACGCACTCACCCGAATCCTGGGCCAAATACAAATGGCTAGATGAATAAACATATAGTAACACAAATACAAACACTCAGTGATATAAAAGCTTACATGTGCATATGCAGTGGACATAGCATAACTGCACACACACACAAAAGCTTGCGCAAATATTTCTGTGCTTAAGTACTCGGCCGTGTGAATACATGGAGACCAAAGCAAGTTTAGAGAGACTGTGCCTGCACAGCATTATTAACACATACAGGCAGACACATTGACACGCACATGCAAACAGAAGGAATGGCTGTGCAAAGCACATTCAGAGTAATTAAATAGTTCCTCTAAATTTTACTGTCTGTATTGCTTATCATCAAATGCCTTCTGTTCTCATACTTAAGGCACAGTTTTACTGGAACCTACCACAAAACGAAAAGTACAAAAGAATGAAAAAGTATAATTTAGATGACTTTTCATGGCATTGAATTCAGGTTTTGTTACTCTGCAAACAAAAGGGATAGCCATATAAAACCAACCTGTATTTGCGTTTAGTTTGTAATGGCAAAGTAGTTCATACGATAGAAAGTTTGTAGGGCATAAAAAAACTTCATAAGATACTAAGGATTCTGTGAGCATATCAAGAAAAACTGAATGTAGTAATGTGTCTGGAGAACCTATTCTTTAACTTCTGCCAAATCCATTTTCATGTGTGTGGATGCGACCTTGACTGCTTTTCCAGTTCTGTAGTTGAATTCCACTGCTGGCTGTCTGTTATCTCTGGCCTAAAACATGTTCTGATATATTTTCAAATCGGAGGCTTTTTTTGTGGTTACATCCCTCCTTTCCCCAGTCTAGGCCCTTTCTTTTTGGAACACACATGACGTTTGTCATCTCTAGTGCTGTCTCCTTATGTCTGCTTGTGATCTAAATCAGCGCTTTCCCCTTTTTTCACTTTTTTTCCTTTGGCCTTAATCAAAGCTGTTATTTTCTCTGCATTTTTCTTACATTCGTCTTTATTTCACACTTCGTTAGTTATGTGCTCTCTCTCTCTCTCTCGCTCTTTCTCTCTCTCGCTCTCTCTGTGGCTGGCAGTCTCTCTGGGACCATACACATTCCTGGCTGGAAAATTGTAAGGCTTTGTCCAAACACCAGCCTCTAAGAGCCTGCCGAGAAAGAAGGAGAGAGCGGGAGAGAGAGCTAAAGGGTGAGAGAGGGAGAGAGATAGAGAGAGAGAGAGAGAATGAGACAGGGAAAGAGAGAGAGATCCCTCATGGTTGTTTCCTCACTCCTACACCCCCTCACCCCTTGCAGCCTATCGTATAGTCAGATCACACACATGCATTTATCCTACTCCAGTACTCACAAGGCTCTCTCATTAACTTAGAGTACAACTACAGCAGCCATTAAGATTTCTGTGTGTGTGTGTGTGTGTGTGTGTGTGTGTGTGTGTGTGTGTGTGTGTGTGTGTGAGAGTTTCGTTCTCTTTCTCTTCCTCTCTCTCCCACATGTGTCTGTAGTCAGTGATGTCTCAGTATGGCTGGGGTTCTTCTTTGGTGCTGCTGCTTTGGGTAAATCAGCCCAACACTAAACAGACACACATTCCTACAGCCCCCCTCTCTCTCACTCGCTCCCACTCTTCTCTCTCTCTCTTTCTTTCTCTCTGTCTCTCTCTCTCTCACAGGCATACTACATGAGGGAAAACAGATGACTGTTACTCCGTCTACCCTCCACTCCTGCTTACCCTCTGCATAATCACTCTCTCTACACCTCTGTCCCACACTGCCACACTGAAGATATATATATGTATATATAACATGTTTGTAAGTCAGAGTTTGGTAATATATAGGGTTAGGTGTTCAAGTGTGGACCATGGCATGCAGCAGTGAGTTAATTTAAAGCTCAGGAGACAGGCTTTACACTTCAAATTCCCACAGCAGGAACACATACAGTCCATATGTTTGCACAGCTCAGCCCTCACACTCTGTGCAGTATTTACAGCGTAAACTGAAAACACACTCACTGCCCATTGATATCAATATATTCTATTCTATTCTATTAATTAATTGTAAGCATATTCATGCACAACACCCTCAGTTGTGCTGCATGTACATTAACATGTAGTTTAAGTCTCTATATTCATTGAAAACTTGACAACGTAGCATGGCGGCGGCTCAACGCAAAACCACAAGATCTGAATTGCTATAATACGATTTCAGCCAGTCAGGTCGAGATACGCTTGAAAATAGAGGTACCAGTTAGGTTTCTCTGGAGCTGTGCCATAGAGGAACCACTGTTGGCTCCCTAAAGTATGTTTCAATTGATGATTATTGTTTTTTGAAACATTAAAAGGTTCTTTAGTGAACCAAAAGTAGGGTCTGCTATGACATCACCTTTAAGAGTGCTACAGCCATTGAAAAATATAGGTGCAAATGAGTTTTTTTTTGGCGTGATGCCATAGAAGGACATTTTGGTTTCCCAAATAACTTTTTTTTGAAGAACTATCATTTGAAAGGTTGTTTAGGGAACAAAAAGTGCTTCTTCTATGACATCACCCTTTTGGCACCTCTTTTTTTTTTTAAGAGTGTAGGAGGTTACGCCGACATTACCACACACAGTACAAACCGCAGTAATTACCAACACAAACAGTGGAGAAAGGCATTAAAAGGGAAAAAAATGAATGAAAAGACTAAGGAAACATAAAACCTACATCCTTCCTTCCACCTACAGAGGTCATCTGCCTGTTAGCGTGTGTCTTTCAGCGCACATAAGCGTAGCTAGTCCATGCACAGTCTAACCAATGTGCAGACTACTGTACACCAGTATGATCCTGAACAGGTAGTCTGAACACTGGGATGACGGAGCAGGAGAAAGTTCCATCCCTTTCTCTCTCTCTCTCTCTCTCTCTCTCTCTGTCTCTCTCTCTCTCTCTCTCTCTCTCTCTCTCTCTGTCTCTCTCTCTCTCTCTCTCTCTCTTCTCTTTTACTATTTTTTTCCCTATCTACCTTCTCTATTGCTCAGCCCATTCCTGCTGGCCCAGACATTCGCAGGAGGAGGTGGAAGATAGAAAATAAACAAGATAGAAATAGTCTCCATTTCTCTGCTTCTCCCTCTCTCCCTGTCGTCTTGGCGGAGACGCTCCGGGCCTCCGCTGTCAGTTTGTCCCACTCCTGTCTTTCTCTCATTCTTTCTCTCTCTCAATCTCTCCCTCTTTCTCTCTCTGTGAGTCGTGGGCCTCCCTGGTCCTGAGGCCCTGAAGCCGCCTTGCCTGTCCGTGTCGCACGGGTCCAGTATCCAGTCTTGACGTGGCACATTTCGCTCCTGTAGCCGGCAGTCAGTCTGGCAGCGCGTTTAGGGAAGGCATAGTGAAAAAAGAGGGAAAGAGAAACGAGGGAGCGAGGGAGAGCGGGCGAGAGAGAGAGAGCGAGAAAGAGGGAGGGACCCGCTGGCCATATAAGGGTTGATGGGACCCTGGGGGAATCGATTTTTTGGAGTGGTCCGTTGTTACGCTATCACTTTTTTTTCCTCCGGAATACTCTCGATCCTTCGTTCCAATGCTATGCTGTCCTCCACTTCTCTTCTGTCCTCCTATGTCTCTCCCTCCATCCTCCCTCTGTACTCCTCTAGTCATGCTCTGGACTTTTCTTGCACCATGTCTCTCTCTCTCTCTCTCTCCCTCTCTCCCGCTCACTCTCTCGCTAAAGCGGTACCAGATGTTGTAGTCTTAACGCCAGCCCGTCATTTCTGACCTTTTTTTTTCAACCTCTAAAAACTCAGGCAGGAAGTGGGCCCCTCTGGAAGGGAAAAAAAGAGAAAGTTTTAGAGGGGAACGGAGAAGGAGGGGTGTAGGACACGAGCGAGACTGGAAGAGGGGAAATTAAACATAAGTAAGAAAAAAGTAGCAGGGCAAGAGAGATAGAGGGCGTGCGATTTTCTTAAGCGTGATCTCATTGAAAAACTTTGTTTCTTCCACCTCTTCACAATCTTCACAGCTATGTCAGATCACAGTTAGCGCCATCAGACTCGATCTCCACTTCTGGCTCAGAGCTTTATGCTCTCTTCCACTCTCAGTTCCCTCCTTTCTCTCCTTCAGATTCCCTCCAAGTTCTCCGCTGAGCCGTTATTCATGGTGTAATCCAAGCCGTTTCCTGAGACCCCAGCCCCTCCTGGACAGAAGAACCAGGGGAGAGAGGGAGAGGTGGAGAGGGGGAAGCTCCCCCTCCTTCTTTTGAGAAATGTTGTGTTTTAGAGGCTCAGTCTGAATAATGACTTCCACATGTGGGCCTTCTCTTTCTATCTCTCAATCCCTCTTTCATTCTTTTTCTCTCCCCCCTCAAGCCTTTCGCTGCTCGCTGAAATCTTGCAGCATCCCCATGTATTCACTCTTGTAGTACTCTCCCCTCCAGCCATGCTAACCACGATTACATGGATACAGATCAGAACAGCTCTGAAAGTCTTTAAGAGTAGTTTAGCACAGCCTTTGGACTATTATTAGAGCTGATTGGTGTTAAACGTAAAATTGCACCGCTTGAGTTCAATCTGTTAAATGATCGCATATGATTTTATTTGATTCTGCTTGTGCAATTTGTGTCTTTAGAGATTTTGGCCTACAAAGACAGAAGTAATCAATAAAGATTCCTCCGAAAAGTTTCCACTGTCTGTGTGGCTTCAGACTCTCCGATTTCTCTTTTTGAACAGTCTGGCAGCAATTATGTGATGAATTTTTCCAATGACTGAAAAGTTTTAATTAGCATCTTTGATTATGTTGTCAGTTAATGTCCAGAAAAACAAACAGGTTTTTTTCACTTTGTCACTAAGAATACCTCGTAAATCCAGTTCTTTCATTTTTATTTCTTTATACCATTTCAAAATCCCAACTGACCCATTGTTTGAGCCATAAGTAGAAAGTTACACTAACAGATGTTGTTAATAATGTCTTATGAAGTTACTGTTTCAGAGATGCAAGATGTTCTCATGGCAGTAACGAAATGCTATTATCAGTATGAGTGAATTAGAAATAAGATGGGTGCATTCGGTTTAAAAAAGCCTGCATTCCATTTCTTTTCAATGTGAAGCTTTATTTCAAGAGACACACGGGTTTAGTCCAGGCCAGGCAACCTCTACATAATTTTCCACAGCTATTCCAGATTAGTTTCACAAGCATGGACTACATTAGTCTAAGAAAAATGCTTTAAAGTTGGCAGTTCTGATCTTAAAGCCTTATATACTGACCTTTCAGAAATCAAGACTCATCGACTGTTGTGGTGTGATTAGATGAAGGCTGCTGGCATTGGTCATTCATAGATGCCAATCTTGGGTGGAATCTTTGACTGAGTTGCAGGAGTAGAATCCTGACACCACGTCATGTATTATGACCACCAGTGAGATACAGATCTTGAAAGATTTGGACAGTGGTTTCCACCCTAATTCCAACAATTCAGCTGCCATAGACAGTTTACTATTTTCCCGTTCATAACACACAGCATTCACATCATTCCATCATTTAAATGTAATCTTTAAAAGTACTGAGTTATTGCTGTTGTTTTGATGTATTGTTTAAATGCGGTTTTACATTTAGACTGCAGAATTACATTTACATTTGATTTATATTCTTTAGACAGTTTTCAGTCTGCCCCATTTTTTTCTATTTGTTTCAATGTCAAAAATTTGCCAAACATGGCAAAAATTTAAGGGATGTTTTTTATTCTCGCAAAACAAGTTAATCAAACTCACATCATAATAAAATGTCTCCTATCCTACTTCCAAACACAAATGTGATATTGACTGAAAGTATAGAATCCACGCTTTCCACAGAATTGTCCATGCTTTTTTCATTCTTTTATCAGCATAATAACTGTGTCTGCTAAACATTAAATTCTTTTTTCTACTAGTAAGTCTGTTTACCTCTTATGCTCCAGGGTGTATTTTGGTTTGTCCGTCTGAATTTACATGAACAAATCTTAAGGCAAATTAGTCAGTAACTGCATGAAATAAATGCAAATTTTTATTTTATTTATTTTTTGGTAAAAGCTCCCCTCAAATTAACAGAAAATGTGTTTTATGTTCATAGACATATTTCTATATGCTTACAATTTACTGCTGAAAGCCAAAAATCTTAGACGCTCTTTGTATATTTTTTTTATAAAAATAATGTTTACAGAGCAGATCACTAAAGAGACGCCATATGTTTATAGTTTATAGCCCAGATTTGTGGGAAAATGGGTCGACTTTCAGTAGACAAAAAAAATTGTGAGTTCTTTTATTATAAGGGTTTAAAATTACATTACCCATCTGTTTAACTGGAAAGAAGACAGTTACAGCTCTCATATGACACCCACCTTTTGAATGTAGCTTATGAAATATGAAAGTTATGAAGAATATGACAAAGTGCGTTGGGTGGTTCCAAGGATCATAAAAGGTTAAAACTCAAAACTTAAACTTTGAGGAAAGGAAGCAAATATTTCTTAATAAAGGACAAAAGAACTGTATAATGTTTGAAGTGAAAACAAGGGTAACACTCAGGAAAATGGAACTTTTCAGAGCTTAATGCATGGCAGTCCTTTCCCAGAGCCATCAAGCCACATGATCAGCATTTCATTCCTGGCTTGTTTATTACCAATTACAGAATTCTGGCTAGGCTCTTCCAAACTGCCATCATGTAAAATTATGGATTTTGTGTGGAATGTTTCTCCAGTGTAACTGCATTATTACACTCTGTTCTAGTGGCAGTGCTGCTTGTGGGTCATTTGATTGTTCAAGTTTGCTAGAAGTGTTGAAGGGTGAGCTCGAGTCCAGCTTGAGGTGGACTCTGGTTTCAAAAAGCTCGACTCCTAACCTCTGCCCTGTATCTGACCCCTCAGGAGAAAGAGAAGAAGTACATGCTGCCTCTGGATAACCTGAAGGTGCGCGATGTGGAGAAAACCTTCATGTCCAGCAAGCACGTCTTTTCCATCTTTAACACAGAGCAGAGGTCAGTTTTTTTTACATAGGAAATTTGTTTTTGTACAGTGTAAGTGGAGTCTTACATACACTGTATGTTCAAAAGTATTCACACATCCCTTAAAATTATTCAGCTCAGCTACTTTAAGGTGCACCCATTGCTGACATAGGTATTAAGTTGTCCACATGACTTGCTTTCCAGTGCATTGCCAACAGAATGGAATGCGCTAGAGCAGCTGCATATGAGCTTAAAGTCACCATGCCCAATGTCGAGCGTCAGCTAGAGGGGTATAAAGCTACCCATCACTGGGCTATGGACCAGCCGAGCTGCATTCCCTGGAGTGTGAATTATCATCCAGCATCAGTACCTGACCTCACTAGTGATCTTGTGGCTGAATGCAATCAAATCCTCACAGCAGTGTTTCAACATTTTGTGTAAAACCTTCCCAGCAGAGTAGAGGCTGTTACTGCAGCAAAGGGGGCACAAACTCCCCATTAATGCCTTTGATTTCAGAAGGAAAGCTGCATGGGAAGGTATCTACAAACTTTTGGACATGCATTGTTGGTTTCCTGGACAGGGATTAAGCCTAATCCTGGACTACATTTTCCTTTCAGTGGAAAATCTCCATTCAGAATGCTGTGTAATCTAGCTCGAGGCTTAATCCTGGTCTGGAAAGCCAAACCATAGTGTGTGTTCCATATGTAGAAAATATTTCAACTGCATTTTCAGTTTTAAAACATGAAAAATTTAGATATTATTAAAAAAACACTTTGCAAAAGTCAGGACTGTTTTATTAGTTCTGACATTGTGGTGTTTTTTTCTGGTTTTCTTGCAAAGTCAGGACAATTTTCTCCTGAAAATGGAATGGAATGATATGAAAACACGCACACACACTCACACTAACACATAAAGCCTATGGGTTTATGTAGAGAAGGTTTGCATTTGGGTGGTTGTCAGAACGTGTGAGGCCGTAGACTGGGAGCTGGAGACACAGCTAGTTACAGACAAACCACACACTGACTCAACAGCTCAGCACTCACATGCTGACCAGAGTGTGTGTGTTTTTGCTTGTGTGTGTATGTCTGCCTAGCCACTAATAGGAGGTCGTGACATTCACTCACAGCTGCACTTTGATTTATCGTCAGATGGTTCTAAAAGGAATACAAATTTATAAGAAAACACCTAAAACCCCACACACATACACACTTTGACACACACTCCACCCCACTGGAAAATGACTGGAATATTACCAGTCCCCTCACTCTCTCTTTAGCCGGTGTTCGTCTGTGCTGTGACATGGCCAGGCCTTCTCTGCTCTTCATTTTACTCCCCTGGTGGAATTTTGCGCTCTGTTCTCCTGGCTGCTTTCTGCTTGGGAGTTTCCCGAACATTCATTACCATCAGACATGAACTGGGAAGCGCAGTCAGAAGTCAGAACCGGTGGCCACAGCATGCACATACTTACACACATGCACGTTTTTTTTGTAATTTGGCAGAACGCAAGGTCTTATATAAATCCCACTTGTACATGCCACAATGTGTTTATATGTATTATAACATAGTTACTATGTAACTGTCTGTATTTATTGAAAATCTTTAAGCCTAAACATAAACACTAGCCCTAATCTTTTCCTTAGTAACCAAAAAGAAAATGTTTTAACATTTCAGTTTTTTTTTTTTTTAAATAAAACATTCAGCTTTTATTAAAAGAATCAGACATATTTTTGTCCTGAAAATGTATGAAAACAAGCACACAGTTACTCTCACAGTCATTTACACACTCAAATGCAGTATGCAGTGAAGGGAAACTAATATTCAGACCCTTTTTTATATAAAACGTATCCACATAAACAGAGAGATTGATAGGAAAAAAAAAACATATCAATTCAATACATCTTTGGTAAGAAGTAAATAGCATGACAGGTCAGTACTGACTGAGACAGGGTGTGATTGGGCAGTCCTTGTTCTTCAGTGGTAGCCGTGCTGGTAAACAACTGAAAGACATGCCTTCTGAATATGGCTCCTCAGTTCTCCACCTCAGTGAAATATAACCGAATGCGGGAACTCTGCTGGGGCTCCTCACATCTCTTTAGCCTTGGATCAATGTTGGCTTTTTATGTGCTGCTCTAATTCTTTACATTCTATATCAGGAGTCCAAAACCAGTGGATACATAGCATTTCTGAAAATCAGCTTACTGGCTGTGCATTTTTGTCTTGTATCATACATTATTTCATACATCAATACATACATCGGTACATGTCATACATCATTCTTGCAGCATTGTGGTTGAGTTTTGACCCATTCCTCTTGGCAAAAAGTCTGTAATTCCCCAAGGTTACAAGGGTCCTTCTGATGGACTCACATTTTCAAAATCCTTTATAAATTTTGAAGTCATGAGTTTGGGAAGGCCTTCCAAACACCTTCACCGTCTTTTTTAGAAATCAGTCTATAGTTAGTTTGGCTGTATGTTTAGGGTCTTTGTTTTGTTGACACATTAATTTCCTCCCCAGACTCAGTTTATTGGCTGACGAGTTTAGATGATAACATGATAAGCTGAATTATTGCCAAAGAGTTCTATTTTTGTTTCATCTAACCAGAGTGCATTGTTTCAAAAGTGTTTAATTTGTCTAAATACTGCAAAGTTTAGAAGTGCATCTTGGTGCTTTTTTTAGCAGAGGAGTTTTTCGTGGAGATGATTGAGCTGCAGTACATTGCTTATTGCTCACTATATAAACGTTGCTCTTTCTGCTTTCAGGTTGTCCTGCAGCTCTTTTTGAGTGACTACTGGATTTTCTCTTATCTTCTTTATCCTATATACCTGCACATCAACTTTCATAAACTTTTCACTTGCATATTATTGAACCAATATATTGAACTGACATGAATCTTTAAGGTGATTTTGCTCTGTAGCTTTTTATTTTAATGTTATTCAATAATGTTATACCTGAGAACTTTAGGAGGCTCCTTCATCATGATTGCTACTTGTGTGAAATCTTTACAGCCAAAAGCAATGTCCTTTAAAATGGTCCAGTTTTCTTAATTAATGGTCCATTTTTGTCCGTTTTTTAAAGTTTTTGACATAATTTGAAAATACCTCTTACCCTTTATGTGTTGTGAAAATTTCATGAAGAATGGACAAAAAGAAATGACCCAAAATGACTTGGAAAAACATCTGGTTCCATTGACTTACATTGCAAGTAAAGTATGTTCTTTTTTTTCCTTCTCCTGTAAAGTTCTCATTTTGGAGAACAAGGTTTTGTTCCACCAGCGATACGTATATATGTATATATACATACAAACTCAGTTTAGTTTTTTAAACATACCTTTGTTAATGCTTATAGATACATCAAGTACAAAGTCAAAAGAGTTGCAGGACAACCTGAAAGCGGCAGGACCAACACTTACACAGAGAACTATAAGAAATGCACCACACCACAATCATCTCCATTCCTACACCCACACATAACTCCTCTATTAAAAAAGACGTTTGTACTTGTGAATAAATTTGGATGTATGCATAGAAGTGTATTATATAACAAAAACAAGAGTCTGAATACTTGTCTGACCTAACTGTAAATCCAGATCAGCTTCATTTTAATTTTGACCATTTAGATTCACACTATCCTGCACTCATTACACCAGTGCAAAGGCAACCGCATCCTACACACTTACAGACACACTCAGTTTCTCCTCTTTCTCTCTCTCTCATACACACACACACAGGCAGTGTGATAGGACACACTCTGACACATTCCTGGCCATCGTCTATTCCCCCCACCTCCTCCATCCCCCCAGTCTCTCCAAGATTCTTTTCTTAAGAAGCACAGCTTCATGTCTGAGGGTGGGTGTGGCTGGGACTGATTACTTACTTAATTAGAGAAATGTTGGAATGCTGTGGTAAGCAAATACACAAATACACTCCAATAAACACGCATTGTTTCACAGAGAGTTGTGCAACGGTCTTGTAAACACACCACATATGTTGCAGTCCTGTTGGTCGGTCGCTTTCACGCAGATCAGTGAATCTCTTCCTCTCCTTTTATCTCTCTCTCTCTCTCTCTCTCTCTCTCTCTCTCTTTCTCTCTCTCTGTCGGTCTTTTCTCTGTTTGTGTCACACACTCATACACATGAAGCTAATCACTACAGCAAGGCTGCACTCACCCTCTCAAACATTTAGACTTTGTTCACACTGCAAGGCAAATTAGATTTGTTTCTTAAATCTGATTTTTAGATTAGTGTTTGGATTTCCAGTTACAGTTGAACAAATGCTGTTTGTATTGTCAGACCATATTTGCTCACATATCCACATTCCACATTACAGTAGAAACAGTGCAGACTATGCGAGGGCATGCAAAACTCAGCAATCCTGTCACATTTATGAGCTTAGATGTTGATGTGTTCCATAGCGTAACAACTATAACTAGCTATCGGAACAATCATGCACACTTTTTAGCATTTGTAACATGAACAAACTTTATACGCTCCAGGCTCTAGCATAAGCTCCACCAGTAATAATCACAGACAGGCTTATTGTTACATGTTACTTTAAAGTTGTTTAAAAGCTTTAACTTTCCATGTTTACGCTACAATATATGAACGTGCACCACTGACTTTTTTGTTTCACATTCTAATGTCAAGAGCCGCCGTGCCTCAAATGATGGAAAAAAAAAACAATGGTACACTCCAGTAAACACACATTGTGACTGGTCGAACTGAGTAAGTATTTCCAGAAATTTGAATCAGATTTAAAACCTAACATTATAATGGGGATCGAATTTGATTGAAAGATTTGAAGTCTAACCAGGTTTATTTTTAAGAAAACAAAATTGTAAATGCACATATTTTTATGTATTTTGTCTCCTTGTTCTGATTAATACTTAAATCTTTTGTGTGTTTAGTCCAGTTTTTGGGCCAAAAGAGCTTCAATATGTGCTGTCAAATCATTATTTGGGTAAAACCTGTTCTCCCTACCAAGAAAGACACTTTGAAGAACATGAAGCTGTGTTAAAAAGTATTTGCCCAAAGTATT